CCACTGGGGATATGCCCAAAACCAAGGTACATGCCCTTGACCAGAATCGAACCCGGGACCCTTGAGTCCGCAGGCCGATGCTCTATCCACTGAGCCAAACCGGTCAGGGCAGGCGTTATCTGTTTAATGGCCATGACCTCCCGGGGGGTTTGGCAGCATCGTCTCTACAGCAGAGGTGAGGTTCTGCAGCCCAGAGAGGGTAAGTGACACCCTCAGTGTCACACAGCCGGTGATGGGCAGAGTTGGGATTTGCCCTCTTTCCGCCACACACAGGACGTTCTGAGCTTCCCCCGGGTCTCCCTGACTGAGGTCACGTCACCCCAGCCTCTGCCTGCCCTCCTCGCCCAGCCCAGGTGGGCTAATCCGTGTCCTGTCCCCGCAGCATCCCTTCGTCAGCGGCGTCACCAGTAACAAGGCTCTGCGGGAGCTGGTGGCCGAGGCCAAGGCCGAGGTGATGGAGGAGATTGAAGACGGCCGGGAGGAGGCGGAGGAGGAGGACTCTGTGGACGCCACCTCAGTAAGGCCCGGAAGAATGGGTGCTGGGAGGGACAGGCCCCCCGCAGGCCTTGGTGGACGGTGGGGCCTGTCTGTCAGAGGGCCCGGCTGTCCCCGCAGGTCCCTGTGGTGTATTTGACCAGAGGCCTCCCCTCCTGGTCTGTGGGGTCAGGTGGGGCCGTGCTGGGAGGTGGCGGGCGGTCCAGCCAGAGGGGTGTGGGCGGGCCTGTGTCACAGGAGCTCCCGGCCGCTGGGGGCCTATTGTTTCCTGTGAGCTGGCACCTCCGGCCTCCAGGACATTCCTCGGGGAAGGGACAGCTGTCTTCCTCCATCCCCGCCTGGCAGACGCGGAGCCCTGACCCGAGCCGGGAATTTCCGTCCCGCGGCTGGAAAATGTCCTGCCGGAGGGACTCAGCGGGAGACAGAAAAGGCCGCAGGAGAAATGAGCGATTGCTGAGATACAGAAGACACTCAGAGCTGAGCTTAGCGTCGGCCGCCGGGGCTCGTTGCCTCTTCCCCGGGCGGGAGGGGTGGGCACATCCCCGGCGAGGACACCCAGTGCAGGCAGGCTTGGGGGGTCACCTGGCTGGGAGACACCGGCAGTTCCATATCGTGGCTTCCCAGCG